CCAAAAACGCTGTTTTTAGGGGTTTCAACCCCTTTTTTCTCGAAAACGTGACGTGATGGGAAGTTTTGGACCCCAGATTCGTGTTCAGCACGAAAAATCCGTTCGGAAACACCAGGTCCCGTCTTATTCGCAAAACCCTTGTAGACCAGTGATATTGGTGAATTAGTCAACGCTCGCTAAGACTACGTTGGAGGGGAGCGCAAACGAAAATAATGAACAACAAAAAAATTGGCGCTGAAGTGAACATCTGGTAGAACGATAAAAAAAGCCAACTGGCAAAGGGAAGGAAGGAGTATAGTACAGCGCCATCGTGCAAAACTGGCTCATTATCAGCTTCTGTAAAGTGCGAGCACACACTTGTCCGACACCGACTGCGACTGCGACAATATCACGGCTGCTTACAGTTAACGTGAAGCGATTATTGCAAAATTCCAAATCGGCTGCTAACTTTTCATTTTTCTCGTATGGCAGCTGCAAGTGTGACTACCCACATTGCCGCAATTACTGCTTCGCCTCCAGCTGTTGTAGGAGTGTCAATGGGTGGAGTAGATGTGGCAAGTACGGCGGAAACAACAACTACCAATGTCAGTCGCAAGAGCATGCTGAATCAGGAATCTGCTACTGCAACTGCTATTACCACATTTCTCATCAGCAGCACTAACGTCGGACACGTGAATGAAGAAGATAGTTTCAAGACATTGACTTCGGTTTCGCCTGGCTTCGTAGGGACCAGTTCCTCATCGGCTTCTGCTATGATGCCGGAGTTAGGAACACACACCCATTCTCGTAGGCTACCATTGCCACTTGTTGCTATGACGGCATCTTCTAAATATGATGATAACTTGGAAATCGGTGGAGAGATGATTGCCAGCGCCACAATGGCGTCGGTTAGGCTTGTCGATAATAGTACACAGACTGACGCATTGAGTGACGAAGAACAGCTCTTGACAGCAGGTAACACTGAGCTGGGGACGGATGTATATGGGGAGAGTGAACATGCGTACCATGCGTTGGCAGTGGTGGCTTCAAATAATGACAGTGAAGTCTATGGCTTGATTGAATTTCACGAAGCAGACGAAAACAAGGAAATGGCTATAACAAACAGCGTAAAGGAGTTTGCTGACGAGGCGATTGGCAATGCAAATGAAAGTCAGTTGTTCTATAGAGAATTAAACGTTTTCGATATGAACCGCGATTGTAATGAATGTAATGAATTTTCCAGATTCGTGGGCGATAAAAATTCCACAAAATCAAATAGTCTAAGCCAGTGCGACAACTGTCTGCAGCAAACACTGAATGTAATAGAGCTCGATGCATGTGAAATGAAGAATGCGATAAATGATGGTGGTGGTGGTCATGAAGATGAGCCATCGCCAGTAACTGGCAGCGCTCTGGCTAATGAACATTTAGTCAATCAAAACCAATCGTTCGAATCGCAAAGTAGTAATATTTTAGACGATTTAGAACCAGGTGATTGTACCTGCAATGCATCGACCCATTTTGGTTGTGGTTGCGATGAAACAGCTGCCAATTGTACCTATCAGGAGCGCATTATCGACTATGATAATTTTCGAATTATCGAACATGTTATCGATTGTTCCCATGACAGCTGCTGCAAGCACAGCAGAAAAATGCATTGCACAGGCTCTTGGGAAGACAATGTGGTGGAAGAAAATAAGGAACTGAATTTCGCGTGCCGAGAGTTGGTGACATTTATCGGCGAGAGTTATCAGATAATGAAGGCACAAGAACAAACGGAAAACATAGCTGCAACGACACCCCCACTGCTGGAATCAACTCGGACCGTTAAAGATATTGATGAAGAAGAGACATATTGTGAGGAAAATATGAATATTGGCCATTTCATTGTTGGTCCTCAAATCGAAAGTCCGTTCATAGCCGAGATTGTCGATGATAACAATAATAAAGGCCGCGCCAAAGCCTCCCAAGCTGTGGGTGGATCGAGCGAAGCTATTCCATCGGGAGTTAACAAGTCAATATCAGCAACTATTACAGCTTCATGTTCGGTTTCAAATCCAATGCAGTCCATTAAGAAAACAGAACACCG